TCAGGGGCTCCGGAGGGCGGCGGGCGCACGCTGCAGGCCTTTGCGACGAGCTGGGCCTGAGGAGAGGGTGTGGAAAGCACCCCTCACGTCGCCCAGTGACAGCTAGCGTCCTGGGGATGTCCCCCGACGCCGTCGCAGTGGCAGGCCCACGGACAGGGAGGGACAGGGAGAGCGGGCGTCCGAAGGGGCCTCCTCTTACCAGAAGCGGAGCAGGCCTTTCCATTGTCAGTCCACTGTAAACGAAAAATAGGCTTTCCCTGTATCTCCTTAACTGTATTTAATCCGTTTTTCCATTGTTAATGGGTTTCCTCCTCAGTAACGCCCTGTGTTTTGTGTATAGGGGCTGTTGATTTAATCATTTTAAGTTAACTTTATTAAGTTACTAGTGAGAGAGTTTGTGGGAAAAGGGAATCATGAGCTTATTTATATCGAGCCACTTTTTTTTGAAATCCATGTATAGTTTATTCATGATACTGTTTATCCATGAACATTATGAAGTTCCCTCATATACTAATTTATTGATTAAATTTTGTGTGTTTAAAATATTTTTTGGTTATAGGTTGTGTTCACTGACTGAGAAAGAGACAGAAAGTGAGACATCCCCCCTACCCAGCCATGCTACATACAATCCCTTCTCTATTCTCTTCTCAGGATTTTGGGGACACACGTGTGCCTAGGGTGTTTTTCTGTTTTTGTTTGTTTTTGTTTTGCTATAAGGTCTGTGCATTTTCTGGGGACAGACAGAGAAAGGTAAAGTACAGTGGGGATGGCCATGGTGCAGTCCCCTCTCTCCCATTCACCTCTTGGGATTTTGGGCAGGCATGCACAGGGCTCTGGGATACTTTCCAAGCTGCCAAGTTCTCTAACCTCACATTTGGGCATGTGGAATCCAGCTGCCTTAGCCACCACACTACCTGGCTGGCCCTACCAAGGTGTTTTTCCAGCCAGTGGCCTGTTACTGGAACTGCTCAGTCTGCCATATGAGATCCAGCTGCCTTAACCTCTGTACCACGTGCTGGCCCTGATTTTTGTATGTTTTGAGGTGGTATGACAAATGTATACACTTTAGTAACTACCGCCACAATCAATATAGAGAACTTTTTCATCACCTCTGAAAATTCTGCATCTACTTTCCTTTTCTTCCCCTCCTAAACAGCTTTATTAAGATTTTTTATTTTTTTGAGAGATTTTTGCTATGGGATGTGTGCACTCATGGGAGAGACAGAGTGTCACCTCTTTCTACTCCATTCTCCTTTTGGAGTTTTGGGCCTGCATGTACAGTGCCCACTGTGAGCCGCAAGCTGCTGGGTCCAGGACTTGAACTGTGGTTGACTACGTGGGAGTCCAGTGACATAACCATTATGCCATCTGCTGGTTCCAGCTTTTATTAGGGTTTAATTTTCAGTGAGTGCATTTCACTTATTCAAAGTGTGAAATTCAATTGTTTTTACATGTTTAGTTGTATAAACATCACTACAATCAACTTAGAGTATTTTTATTACCCCATGAAGAAATCATGTACTGATTTGCAGTCACTATTTCCCCTCTTTGCCCTCCACTATCCCTATTCCATCACTAAATAAGCACTAATCTACTTTCTGTCTTTGTTGGACATTTCACATAAATAGAATCACATGTGGGCTTTGTGACAGACTTGTTTCACTTAGTGTATTGATTTTTGTATGCTAATTTTAGACTTTGCCAATTCACTGAATTCTATTAGTAGAGTCAGTTTCATTGATTCTTGTGATTTTCAGGGCATATATTACCTATAAATAAGGTAATTTTTAACCGTTATTCTTGCAGTTTTGTCTATTGTACTGATAATATCTTGAGTAAAAGGATGAACGGTAGTGGAGATAGTGGGTATCTTTGCTTTATTTTTGCTTTTAAGGAAAATGCCTTTAGTGTTTCTGCATTAAGTAAAGTACCAAAGACTGAGGCATGAATATTTATACTATTAAAAATATCTCTCAGGATCAGAAGTTAGCGTAATGGCTATGTCACTGGACTCCTATGTAGTTGACTGCGGTTCGAGTCCTGGACCCAGTGGCTTAAACTCACGCCGGGCGTGAGTGTGTGCATGCCCAAGATCCTGAGAGGAGAATGGAGAAGAAGGGATTGTGGTGTGGACATCTCCGCTGGGGGGTGATTTCTCTCTGTCTCTCTCTTGTCTTTCTGGTGAGTGCACGCGCCCTATAGCAAAAACCTCTCCAAAAAAACCCAAAAAACCAAAACTTTATTTTCTTCTGGCTTTTTAAAAAAAGATTGTTTTATTTATTTATTTTGTACATTCAGTCACTGTGTATCATTACAGCATACCAAATAAATTTTCCCGTCATGAATACACTGCATATCAGTCTGGTCATATCCATTATTATATACATTATAATCAACAGATTTCTTTGCATTTTTGGTCCCTTAAATGTTTGGCTTTTTTCTTCCCCTCCTTTCACCCTAACCTCCCCCCCCCCCCACACACGCTGTCTTCAGTATCATCGTTGTTCTCCATGCTTTTATACCGTCTAGTCATTCAATTTCTGCCATAGAGTGCTGACATTCAGTTTATATTGAGTGGAGACATACAGTGCCTCTCTTTCATAGTCTAGCTTTCTTTGCTTGGCAGAAAATCTTCATATTGTCCACTTTCTATCAAATGATAGGGTCTCTTTTTTTATGGTTGAGCAGTAGTCTTCAGGCTTTTTAAAAGATCACAAATGGGTATTAAATTTTGTCAAAGTCTTTCTTATATCTTTGGAGATAATCATGTATTTTCCTTAGATACAGTAATAGGAAATTTAATACAAGTGAATTTCCTACTAATAGTGAACCAACTTTGGATTCCTGAACTAAGTCCTACTTGGTTATGATGTCTCAGTGCAGTGTTGAACTCTACCAATAATTTGTTTAGAATTTCTGCACCAGTGTTCAGGAGAGAGAGTAATCTGTAGTTTTTCCTTTTTGGAACTTCTTTGCCTGGTGTAGGTATCTGAGACTATAGTTCCTTATTGGTAGGGGATGCACTCCAGTACTCCTAGTACTTGCTGGGGGTGGGAGAAGAGAGAGAACGTGAGAAATGCCCTCCCCCAAGGGGAATGGCCATGTCACAGTCCCTTCACCTCCATTCTTCTCAGAATTTTAGGCATGTACGCACCCATACCTGGCATGATTTTCACGCTGCTGGGTCTGGGACGCAAACTGCAGTCAGCCGTGTGGGAATCCATCGCCTTACCCACCACACCACCTGCTGGCCCCCTTTCTGTACTTTAATTGAGCAGCAAATTCCATTCACCTATTTGTATATTTTATTTATAAGTGTTTAGTGCAATGTATTTGTTTTTAACCAAAACTTTAAATATGTCTCATAGATTCTAAAATAATTTATAGTGTATTTCCTTGTTGTTATTTTTATTTTATTAATGTAATTTCAGTGTGTCTTACACTATTCATATTGGAGTTGATATTAACTTTTTATAATAAAATGTTTTCTAATATTTTGTAATTTTTGTTTTGTTTTTGTTAATGAACTAGTTTTATTGCACTGTGACCAGAGTATTGTTTATAATGTCTACTTTATGGGTGTTACTAGTGTTTTCTTTGTGATTTAATTTATGGTTCTTTCTTTTGTTGTTTTCCTCCCCCAGAAACTATGCCATTGGAAGAGTGTCTTTTGAAATCATGATTGCCTCTTAAAATGAGTCTGCATACTTGAGACTGCTTGGTGACTAGTCTTTTACATTACAAACTGAAATCTCTTTTCTTTAGTTTGTGCTCTGACCTGTCTGGTTATTTTCTAATATTTTCAGATTTAGGGCAGACTTACTATTTTTTTTTTGGAGAGGTTTTTGCTATAGGGCTCGTGCGCTCACCAGGAAGACAGAGAGAGACCGAGAGGCAGAATGCGAGAAATCACCCCTCTGGGGGGGATGGCCATGCCACAATCCCTTCTCCTCCATTTTCCTCTCTGGATCTTGGGCATGCACACACACGTGCCCAGCGTGAGTTTAAGCCACCAGGTCTGTGACTCGAACCACGGTTGACTACATGGGAGTCCAGCAACATAGCCATTATGCTAACTGCTGGTCCCAGACTTACTCTATGTTGGTGGCTCTTGCTCATCTCCAGGCTTTTTATTTTCTTGAGTGTCCTTTCTCTCCTCCTTGCTGGCCCAAAGCCCTGCTTGGAGTTGGGCTAAAGCATACGGGATCATAGCACTGTGATTTAATGTTTATTCTCTTTCTACTCTCAATTATTTTGCATT